ACGCATAGAAGAATTTTTTAGAATTTCTATTTTTAGATTGTTGTTTTATAAAATGTTTTAATATTAATAGGTATTATGTTATAGGGCTAAAACCAATTTTTAATCCCTCACCTTACAAAATTGATAGGTTTTAACTCATAACAATATGACACTTTTAGCTCATTATCTTACAAAGTTAGTAGGTTTTAATACCTTACCTTACAAAATTAGTAGGTTTTAGTCTTTTATCTTATAGTATGACACTTTTAGCTATTTATCTGTACGAATTAAAAAAATAATCCTCATTTAATATCAAGTTATAATGTTCTGTTAGTTCTGTTAGCTGACTGTTAACATCCGTTAGCATTTCGTTAATAGAACTAACAAATAAAATTGAATTTAAATTTTTTGTTTTTTTATAATGGAATGCTAATAGATGTTAACAATCAGCTAATAAAACTAATAGAATATTATAACCTAATGTTAGGTGAGGGTTATTTTTTTAATTTGTATAGGTGATGGGTTAAAACTTACTAATTTTGTAAGGTGGGATTAAAACCTACCAACTTTGTAAGGTTAAAAGTGTCATGTTATAAGATGAAGGGATAAAACTTATTAATTTTATAAAGTGAGGGACTCAATGTTAGTTTTTTGCCAATGTTATAGAGGCTACGTTTCTTTCCAAGGCAGCCGCAAGTCGAGTGAAACATCAAGTATCATCAGTTTTTTTGACAAGACAATCATATCATTAGAACCATTCCATTTTCTTGTTACCTTTGACACTTTTTTTAAGGCCGTCCTTGTTGCCTTAATAGCTTTGATTAAGAAAGATGTTTTTTTGTTTTCTTGGTGTGCTAGACAAGGATCAAGAAAGATGTTTTCGAAGGCAAAAACCATTTTTAATCCCTTAGACTTACCTTAAATTAGCATTTAAGTCTTTAAACTAAAAATGATGCAATTAATCCCTTCAACTTAGATTTGCAGCAAAAGTGCCGACACCTATATTATTGTGTTGACACTCTAAGTAGCTTTCAGTTTAAAAAACTTGTATTTTTAATTTAACCCTATTTTTTGGTGCTTTCTTTTGTCCCAATTAATTTGAAATCGACTCAAGTCAAATATTATAAAGAAAAAAACTCTTTTAATGTCTATTTCTCTATTTATAAGATCAAATTTAAAACTTTATTTAAAAAAAATTAAATTTGTTTATTTAAACCCAAAAGTTATTGAAAATTTCATTCTACTTTTCTATTAGAGTTTTTTTAAAAATATATCAAACTTTGGAATTTAATTATAAAATAATTACATATCTCATTTTCATTAATAAAAATTGAAGATACCATATATATTATTCATGATTCATACATTATAAAAGAACAATGTATATAGTATCTTCAACTTTTATTAATGAAAATGAGATATGTAATTATTTTACAATTAAACTTTAGATTCTGATATATTTAAAAAAAAAACTCTAGTAGAAAAATAAGACGGAATTCCCAACAACTTTTGGGTTTAAATAAAAAAAATTTAATTTTTTTTAAATAAAGTTTTAAATTTGAATCTTATAAATAAAGAGATAGATATTAAAAAAGTTTTTTCCTTATGAGATTTGACTTAAATCAATTCCAAATTAATTGGGGCAAAGGAAAGTACCAAAAAAATAAGATTAAATTAAAAATACAAGTTTTCTAAACTAAAAACTACTTAGAGTGTCAACACAATAATATAGGTGTCGGCACTTTTGCTACAAATCTAAGTTGAAGGGCTTATTTGCATCAGTTGGGGAGTTGAAGGGTTTAATTGCATCATTTTTAGTTTAAAGGCTTAAATGCTAATTTAGGGTAAGTCTAGGGGCTTAAAAAGGGTTTTTGCCATTTTTGAACTAATTATTCACTGCTGAAGATTTCAAGGGCCCATTTTAGCCTCTCCATCAAAAAAAAAAATAGTAAACAAGCCAAGGCCCAACCCAACTCAAAGATTTATTTGAAATAAAAAAAAAAAAAAAGAATTATCCTGGATAATTCTGTTTCATAAAAATAATTTCAAGTTGTAGTGAGTTTGAAAAATTTTCCAACATAGTCTTAGAATCTCAAATTATTCGAAAATAATACCTAGAATCCTACATCTACAAGTTTTCATTAGTACTATTGTTGTGGCAACTCTTTTTGCATCACAAATTTCGGGTTGTCCGCAGCTAGAGGTGTTTGGCTCGCAAAACAGAAGTCATTTGTTGAAAAGGATACGAGCTACATGCTGAACTGGTTATCAAACAAGTGCAGGGACTATATGAATTAAGAGTGGCAATGTAAGTTGCATCATATTTTTAGGGAATTAAGTTATACGTGCTGATCACATGGCTTCTAATTTTTACCATTTGGAGAAAAGCCTTCATATATTTGAGGGAACTCCTAATCAAGTATATGAATATATTAGGAATGATTTGATAGAAGTATATAGATTTAGAGCTTTTAGATTAATTAGGACTTAAACACTGCTTAATGTACCAAAAAAAAAATTCTCCCTAAGAAATTAAAGAAAAATAGAAGGGTCCCACGCCTCTGTAGTCAGTAGTGAAATTCAAGAATTTCATAATCAGGCAATGCAAAAACATTCACCATAAGAAGCATAAAGAAGGTGAAACCCTTATCAATTCAAAAAAAAGAAAAATCTACAAATCCAAAATTTTTATTTGACAATGTTGAACGATATATAAGAGTATCATTACCAAAAAAAAAAAAAAAAAATGACAAGCCAAAAAGCACCTAAAAACGCCAAATAAATTTTAAGAATCCATGAAAATTAGCAACTTGCAACTAATTTGGCATTAGAAAATAGACACG